ATATAAGCTCATCCTGATGTTACACTCATCAAGAGCTTTCATTTGAGTACCCACATGCATTTTGATATATTTTTCATATATATATATATATATATATATAAAATATAAAATATATGAAAAATTGATGTGGGTACTCAAATGAAAGGTTTTAATAAGTGTAACATCGGGATGAGCTTATATCTTTAAAAATGTCATTAGTTCACAAGATACAAGGTCATTTCTTAATTATGTATCTAGAGAGAGTATTTTTTATTGCAGCCTAAATACTTAATAATAAATTGACTATTGGTAAGAATGATATGAAACCTTGAAAAGGCACAAATTCAAGTCAAGACCTTTGCAAAGACACTAAATTTCTTTTAAAAAAACCGATTTTATCATATGACTATCCTAGCCACAAAATTTCGCTTATTCTCTTAATAACATAGGTTTCGCAAAATATCAAAAGAAAAATAAATAGTCATATTATGATGAAGAAATGAAAATATTTATCAACTAAAAATATGTTACTCTTAACATTAGTAATAATTATCAGTATTACTTCCACATAGTGTAATTATTTTTTTTCAAACTAGTTTGATGTTAAATATTTAAACAAGTTAGCTAATTATTATTATTTTTTTTTTCTATAAAAAGTACTTTAAATTTATAAAATAAAATAAAATTTTAATACCTTGTACGCTTCATACTCAGAATAATCAACATCACTCTTTTCTTCATCATCATCTTGAATCGGAGAAGACGGATGATTACCCGTGTGTGATATTTCTTCATGGAGCGTCGTCATACGCAGACCCAACTTACCGGTCATATTTGGTGAGGCTTAAATAAACAAATTTAAATTAATACCAAGCTCAAATCAATATTTCTTCTTCTCATCTAAACTAAAACAATTATCTATTAATCTATTACTAATCGTTTAACATAATAATTCTTAATAAACGATAAATAAAATAACTGCGCTGAAAAAAATAAAAAAATTAAAATTGACATAATTAATTAGAAAATAAAAGAACAAAATATCTTCAAATAAAGTGAGTTGCTAAAGCTCTAGATTTTTTCGTGAAGAAGCTTGCTACATTAATTAAATCATATGTCAGTTAATTAATGTAAAACAAATGAAATAATAATAATAAAGAGTAATTAAATTATATAAATGTAATTTAATTAAATAAATAGAACGGAAATAAATAAAGAAGAAAAATTCTACGACAACACCAAGCAAGTGTCACCTACACTTGGAAGAGGTGGATTGTTGCACACGTGTCAGTGAGATGTTTGGATTGAGATTCAGAAAAGTTGGTCTCGCTGAAAGGAGACAAACGTTTCAGTTATAAACATTAAAAGAAAGCTTTTTGTTAGTAAGTTGTTTGTATTTTATTATAATTATTTTTAATATAAATGTCAGATTTTTTTAAGTTCTTTTTTTTATTTTTTTTTAAGTTAGGAAGATGAGTTTTCATTTTTGCTGAATGTTGCACGCGCACCTTACTAGTAATGTATAGTATAGTGTAGAATTTCAAATGATACTCAAGTTAGCTGTCAATTTTATATGAAAATTAATTTAGAAGATATTTAATAATTTTTAGAATTTTTATAATGAATAAATTATGGCAAAAAAAAAATTGACATGTAGAAATTTTAAAAAATTATGTGCAATTTTTTAGAAAAAATTTATTTAATAAATATAATTAAAAATTATCAAGTGACTGTTAACTTTAATGTCATCAATTTATTAAATTTTTGTAACAAATTAATTATAATAAAAAAAAATAATTCTAAAGTTAGCCGACGTTTTTAATTTATGATTTTTTTTTTTCATTATTAAGTTAAAAATTATTTTTTAATAATTGCACTTACAGTTTTTAAAGTGTTTTACAAGTGAAAATTTTTTTTTTAATCATTTTTTCAATAAAAAAAAATTCTAAAAATTTTTAGATATCAGCTAACTTAATTTTCATTAAAAAATGCTTATAAAAATTTTCACTTGTAATTTTTATTAATTTTCACATGTGGAATTTTTTAATTAAATTTTTTTTTATAATTTAATTATAATACTAAAGTTAGCCGACGTTTTTAATTTTTTGATTCTTTTTTCAATAATTAAATTAGAACAAAAAAATATATTTTAAAAATTGCACTCTCAGTTTTTCAAATTAAATTTTTTTTTATTTTTTTATAATAATATTTTCAATAAAAAAAAAATTCTAAAAATTTTTAAATGTCAGCTAACTTAATTTTCATATTTAATTGCCATAAAATTCTAAAAAAAATTTTTAATGTCTGTCATAATTCCAATTAAGTTGCGCGCGCAACAGCTGTAAAAATTAAATCTCTAAAATTGAAGAAATAAATTGTTTAGTGAATAAAATCTGACATTTACTTTATTTGTTATAATTAAATGTTAGTTTAAAGTCAAAACTAATTATTTAATAAATTATTTTGTTGGTTATATAATGTCAACACAGATCTCTATCACAATATTCCATGCGATGCATTTCTTCTTTTTAAACTTTTAAACTTCATGCACATCCAAGCAAATTTTTTAATCAACCTAAATTAAAATAAAACGTCAATGTTTTAAAATATTTGACTTTAAACTAAAACTTATCGTTTAAAGTTAATTATTAACTATTAATTAATATTTATTCTACCAACCGAATTGCTGTTGAACCTCATTCAGTTGAAATAATTTGAGTTTAGTTTTTATAGAGTTTATTAACAAAGTGAATAAAAATTGACATTGACGTGAAGTAATAAATTGCGGCAATTTTTATTTATTAAATACAAAAGCTAATTGATTATTTGTGGCTAGAATTTTGTGAATAGATTCATTAAGCAATTCTAAAATAATTATTTTTTTTTTCAAGCGAATTTTTGTTAGTTTTAAAATAACAATCAAAAGCGTGCATGCAAGTCGTGAATAGCTGAATAATTGTTAGCAATTATTTTTAAATATTTATGTTTAGAATTATTAAAAATATTTAATTATTTTTTACACTTAAAAATATGAAAATTAAGTTAGCCGACATTTAAAAATTTTTAGAATTTTTTTTTATTGAAAAAACGATTACAAAAAAAATTTCATCTCTAAAAAACTTTAAAAACTGGCTATGCAATTTTTTAAAAATATTTTTTTGTTCTAATTTAATTATTAAAAATAAAATCAAAAAATTAAAAACGTCGGCTAACTTTAGTATTATAAAACATTTTACAACTATTAAAATTTTTCTAAACATCAATATTTATTAGCAAGGCATTAACAATAATAAAAAATGCTTTATAAACATAACAACAGACTCAACCACTCACGATACAATTTATTTATTTTCAAACTAATAAATTAATTTAAATTGAAAGTTATATATCATTTAATAAATTATTATTATCATTATAATTAATATTAATAATCGCCGTCGCTTTAACGTCATCAATTAAATATCAAATCAAGACTCCATTTTTTACCTGAGTTGAGAATGGAGCCTTGGGTGGGCCAAAATAGTAGTAGAAGTAGACGTAGGTTTAACAGAAGAACAGATAAGTAATACAATAAAATTAATCAAATATTTATAGTCTATTAATTATTAATTATTATCAGGTATTATGTTTTATAATTTTGTGTTATAGTTTGTTAATATAATAGTTTAAGTTAATTTATTCAAGTTTGTCTTGTGGTCTGATATAATAAAAGTGGTAGAGTTTTATTGTCCGGCTGCCAAAAATACTAGGCCAATTTGCCAAGATGACATTAGCCATGCTTTAATTAAATATTTATTTATATAATTAGAAAATTTTATTTTTTTCTTGTTATAAAAAATTTATCAGAATAAAAATTATAAAATTGTGAGTTAAGTGATACTAAGCTTCAGTATGCTTGCATTAGTGCAAGATACTTTTATTAAAAACATAACAAACAAAAAAAAAAATATGGAAAAGCTGTCATTAATTTTAACTATTTAATTTATATTCGTATCTATATTTATATACTCATTTTTATGTGGAATATAAATTACAAATAAGTAACTTTGTAAATTAATCATAGTCATCAAAGTTTTATAATTACAAAAGTTACTAATTATATCACGTTACAAATATCATAAGATGAATTATATATGTATATATATATATATATATTTTTTTTTAATTTAATTAAATATAAAAAAAAAAATTAATTAAATTTTTTTCCGACTTTTATTTGAACTAGAATAATTTGAAAGAGTAAACACGCCTATGATATTTGTAACGCGATGGTTTAATCTAGGTGGGTACATATCTTCTCATGTACTTCTGTAAATTATTTTCACATGAGAAATGCAAGTGCGAGGTGAATGAAATGATAAATTTTATAAAATAAAATAAGGTTTAAATAAACACGGCTTGTTCAAGATACTAAATAAATAATTAAAACTATTTATAGTAGAACCTCTATAAGTAGAACATCAAGGGAGACACCAAAAAATTTGACTTATAAATTTCGAGTTAGAGAGGTAGAATAAATAAAAAATTCAAGTTGCAGAAGTGACACACATTTTTTTATTTATTCTAAATCATCATTTCAAAATATCTGTAAAATAAAAAAATATGGCATTAAAAAAAGTCAGTAATTTTTTTTTTACTCCAGATAATCCGGTTGTTCTCTATCTATAGTATTATCTAAGTAAAAGTTGTAAAATAAAACATTACTATGTTCGAGATACAGAGGTAAAATTTAATTTTTCAAATTATGGAGGGAAAACATGTACCAAAATCATGTAATAACTACTCTTAGAGATATTTTTTTATAATACTAATAATTTAATTTAAATTTAATTCTATTGAAATGTTAATAATTTTTTTATTTTCTTTTTTTACCTATAACTAAATTTAATTGATGTAGATCTAATATATAAAACTGATTTGGAGGTTTTCAACTTATCGAGGTTCGACTTAACGAGGTTCTACTGTATATATATAATTAAATAAAACTATAATCAAACAAAAAAAAAATTGATATTAAATTTATAATTGTAATCATTATAATTATTAAGTTATCATAACAGGGTTAAAATTTGAAACACAGCATAAGCAAACATTTCAAAAACAAGCCGTTTAATTTATAAATTCAATAAATTATTTCAATATTATAATATTAATAAAAAAAGCATAATCAAATAGATGAATTAATGAAATACTCCTAGTTTCATTTTTTATTCTCAAATGCATTATTAAATATTCAACTGTTGAAGAAATTGACCTAATTTTTTTTAAATAAAATTTTTTCTTGAATTTTATTAAATAATTTTTTCAAAAGTTGATTATTTAAATAAATATTAATATAAAACAGTGTAGATAAAAAATGTTATAATTATTTATAAAAAATAGTGTATGATTCTTCTAGTGTAAAAAAGTGTCAAACGTTCGCAATAAGCTACCGAGCATGTTCATTTTTGTTTTATTTTAAAAATCAATGCTACCTCAAATTGGCAGCACAGCGTATTCTATCAATTAATATTAATTAAAAAAAAAAAAAAAAAAAAAAAAAAAAAGACCGTTTAATGAGAGTGAATGATAATATAAACACAATTTAATTTTATAATAAACGCAGCGCTGCCACGTGTTAACCAGTATATAATAATGCAGTGTATGCAGCAATTATAATCAAAGTGTTCAGTTGTTAAATTACCTTTTCGCTGCAGTACTTGTGTCACTACCGTTGATTTTTTTTTTATAACAAAAGTTGTTAGAGAAAAATATAATATAATATCAAAAAATTTATTTATACCCAGTATTAGTTTATTTAAAAAAAAAAAAAAATTTACGCGAAATTTTTTATGATATGAAAATTTACCTAGAGTAATTATATGTAATATACTATTATTAATATATGGATTGTTGGGGGAATAAATAAATAAAATTTCTTACCGATTCCAAACGGCTTTAACGGTGTGGTATTGAAAGGACTGTCATCATTTCTCGCGTGTCCGACGGACGCTCGTCTTGGATGAGGTAGGCCATTAAGTTCGGAATTGAGATCTGTTACACTTTCGGAGCGTGTAACGCTCAGCGCTTCCATCGAGGTATCGAATCTCATGATCTGGTTTTAAAATTAATAATTATTGTTAGTGATGGTTAATCGGCTGGGAACGTTTGCAACGTTTAATGAAAGTTTTAAGAAGAAAAACAGATAGACAGACCGACATGCCGAAGATAGGAGTGCAGTGATAAGAACAATTGATTAAATAAAGTTTAAAAATCAATGAGATAGAGCGTTAATTAAAATAAATTATTTAATTAAATTAAATTGTACATTAGAAACAAATTTCATTGATTCAAAAAAAAAAAAAAAAAAATTTTTTTTTTAATCAAAAAAAATTATTTAAAATAATTTTGTTGTCTTAAATTAAGAGAAAAATTTTTTAATTAAATAATTTTTTCTAAATTAAAAATAAATAAATTTTTTGAAATTAATTTTCTGGCTTTTAAGAATATTTTTTTAATCAAGTTAATTTTTTTTTTTCAATGAATAAAAGGCGAAATCATAAATAGTAGAAAATAGAAAGAGAAGATAATTAGGAAAAAAAAAAAATTATATAAAAATATAAGTATGTGCATTAATTAATAATCCATTGGACGATGCAAACTAAGTGAAAAAAATGCATTCCAAATTATAAGTAAGTGTTAATAAGCATTACAGTGCAAGCAAGACGTTGAAGAGGCAGAAGTACCTGCGAGAAGTTTGGTACGCTGGCTGTCTTGCGCATCAATGGTTGTCCCTGTGCTTGGAGTAATTCTTTCACTGCGACGTTTTGTCTCAATCGATCTAGCGTCAAGATACTTTCGACTGCCGAAACACCTCTTGTATATTTTTCTGAAAGTTTAATTGCATTTAGATTAAATATAGTCATTTATTTTAACGCTAAAGTTTTTGATTTATTGAGCAGAAAATATTGATATTGCATAATAAATGTAACTGAAGAGTTATTGAAGCGAATACATTAAAAACATCTGTGGTATTTTTAAGTATTATGATAATCACTTTATAAAAGTTGTAAAGGTGTTTGAAAACAGATTTATTGGTTATTTTATATCAATATTCAAATTTGTTAATTTGTTTAAGCTGTTTGAATGGATGTATTTATTTAAAGGAATTTTTAATCGTCATTATTACCGAATTTATGACAATAGTATTATTTTAGTGTCTCGATTAGAGTTATCAGAGTAAAAAAAAATGACAAATTTTTTAAATTAAACATCCATTCATGTGATAATAAACATTTTTTTTTCTTTCTAATTAAATTAAATAGAATCTAACGCTCTTAGTTTTTAATTACCAATAAAAATGTGAAATTAAATTATAGTTAAAAAAATTAAAAAATACACTTTGATATTAAACTAAACTAAAAAGTAGAAAATAAAATTTTTTTTAATTTAAAATAAAAATAAAGATAAATAAAAAAATTTTTTTTCATTAAAAAAAAACACTCCAAGCTTTTTTTTTTTTTAATAAAATAAATTTTTTTATTTGCTATTGAGTGTTTTATTTTTTTAAAACTATAATTTAATATATTCTACGTTTAGCTGTTAACTAAATTCAACATAGATAAGATAATACCCAACTACAAAAAGATCTTATTAATATTATTTTACATTTAACAAAACCAACTGATGACTTTTATGTTTTATTTCAAAGATATAAATTATAATGCTAATCTAAAAGCATAAAAAAAATCGTTCCGGTATTTGAATTCTCCTTTTGCTCAATATTAAATTTATTATCAAGAAAAAAATGATAAAGATTTAAAATTACCTATGTAAGTTTCGCCATCACACAAGCCACTGTCTTCTCCACTGGCAGCGATTTGGGCCAAGCTTTCGCGATCCTCGAGCTCTTCACTAGCCTTTGGTATATTAGAAACGACTTCATAAGTGACTCCAGTCTGAGTAAGACAATCAGTACGAACAATTCTCTTGAATAATTTATCAGCAAGGCTCTGTTTTTTGTAGATATTGAGCGCAAGTCTTTTTCTCAGTACAAGATCCATCTGCGCGGGGTGCGATAAGCGGACGGTTGTCTTGAGGATTAAAAACACCCGCTCGTTGGTATCAGTAGCGCGATTTAAATGCAAGTCGTCGTGTATACTAGAGTCCCAGGCGGCGATAGCACAGACGTCTTTCTCCAAGTGCCGAATTATCGGGAGGGTAAAAAATTTATTGCCATGCTCCTTAGAAATAATGGAATTCAATCCGGTAATGGATACTTCCTCGCCAGATTGGTGTGTCGACAAATCGTCGGCGTTGAGATCAAGAAATAGTACGGGAATGTGTGGCTCCATTCCAGGCGGGGGATTCCAGTCAGCGGGTGCTCCGGGAATCCCAGAACCCGCGGCCGGGACTAGCACGGCGTTTCTTTCTTCAGTCAGGCTCACCCACTGGTCAACCAAACTCTGCTCGCGCTCTACGTCTTGCTCGGTTTTGTTTTTTTTGTTTATCAGCTTCTGAATGTGCTGGTCTAGGTACTGCCGTCGCCTCATTAAAGCGTCGCTCCATTTTTCTCTCAGGACATTCAAATCCTCGTCTTGATAACTGTCCAAAGGGTTTTGGTACCGGTTGCGGACTGATACACTACCCACTGCGATGTCCAGCACTGATTGACAGATTATTGGCAATGTGCCGGAATTTTGAACGGGTTTCACTCGCACCTATAAAGTTTTAAATAATTAGATATTTTTTTATGGATAATAGTTGTTTTTATTATATAAACAATAAGGTAAATAAGACTTTTTTTTTATTAAAAGAAGAAATTATAAATCTTTCATTAAAATTTTACATTCATATTTTTTATTTCGCTGGTTAAAAATAAAAAATGGATGAATGTTTTGTTTTTGATTGATATTTTTTAAAAATTAATTTATTATTAACAAATTATTAATTTTTTGAATTAATAAAATCAAATTCAACCGCACCTAAAATTTTGAAAATTAAAATAATTAAAGTATCAATTTTTTTAATTGAAATCATATTTATGATACAGAAAATATGAAAAAATATCTTTCAATTGTGGATTAATGAGGGAGATCCAGGTTCGATTCCTGGCTTGGCAAACCAACCCCATTTATTTTTTCAAAGTCTGTCTTTGCTCTCATTCAAATTTTCTTTCACTATCTTTCACTTAATCAACACCTTTACAATCAGAACAGATACCACAAGCTTCCAGCTTTACTAGTATTCAAGTTCGATGGATATCCATCGAACTTATTGGAAGAGAGAATATCTTTCGAAAATAAGGGAAGATGAAAGCGTCCATCTATGGGCTTGAATCATATCTACTAGTCAATCTGACCAAAATGGCATGAACAACAACATTCTATATATTCAACTAATTATGTTAAATAAATTAATATCTAAACCTCTACTATCTCTTACATTTAAATTTATACTGTTAAAATGTATAATGTTGTATATTTCCGATTGGCATTTCTACCTAATAAATAAAAAATAAAAATTTATTGTGTCAAGTATTTAAGATATTTTGAATTAAGAAAAAATGACTTTGACCAAGAATACCTCAAAAATAACTTAAAATCTAAAAATCATAAAAAAAAACTTTTACCTGTATCCTACGCTGCTGTCCTTGTCTTAGCTGATAAACTCCGCCAGTCATAGCGTCAGGTTTAATAACAACTTCAACCGGAGAATATTCTCCTTGTTCATTGAGCTCTTGAATTTCGACCCACAGTTGAATCTTCCTCGTCAGTTCCGACCAGCGGTCAGCGAGGGATCGCGCTTTAGCCAGCTGCTGTTCAACTTCCCATCCAGGTTTACTGCGCGAAAAACCAGCGCTTCTGTGTCCCCAGACTTCGATGCTGAGCGCGCCTTCAGAACAATGTTCCATGAACTCTTCGGTGACAGGAACAGTCAAGTCTTTTGTGTGATTGAACTGAAAAGTCAGCGAGTCCCGTTGATTTGTGCTGTTGTTATTCGCAGTGTTGATATTGCTGACCGGTAAGTCGCTGTTGACCACCGGCGGCACCACGATAGGCTCAGGATGGCCCCAGAATGTGTACTGGCAGAAGACAAAGTGACTCAGCGAGAGCGGTAATCCACTGGCTTGCTTTATCGTAACGCGACAAGTTATCTGGCTGGTTCCCGTGTCGTCCTCGTGCTCAGAGGAGCCCGAATCCGAGCCAGAAGTTTCGGAAGCTGCCTCACATATTCTGTCCTGCGGAAATTGTCCACTCACGCGACTTATCTCAACCTGGAGCCGGCCAGCGACTTCTCCCTGTTGGCTGATTATCGGCGTGTGATAATCCAGTCTTACGTCGTGGAACAGAACCTCCAGAAATATATTAGCCACTCCAATGAGATTGTGGTTCTCTTGTGACTCGTAAAATGGATCCTGGGTTTTCCCGGGTACTTCGTCTTTAACTGCGGGTAATCGCGGCAAACTATTGTTGTTGTATTTCTTCTCTTCGTACATGTCCCGCATGTCGATTAGTTTGTTCTCCAGTTTCTCCATTGTCCATACTTGGCTGCCCATATTTGCTCGTTTTACTAGGATTGCCGGTTCACTGACAAATGCTCCTCGCTGAAAGAATACACTCTAAATATCCAGAGTGTGGCGAAAAAACGAAAAACAAATAAAAAACAACACAAACAAATAATAAAGACAAAACAAATTTTTTTTAATAAAAATAATCTAAGATATTTAGTACCCAAAAATTAAATTTAAATATAAATTTTTTAAATTAAAAAAATTATTTCTAGTAATTGAAACTTTTAAAAAAATAATAATATATAAAAAAAATTACAAAGGGCGTACAAGAAAATTTTTTTAATCTATATTATAAAGAGAAAAGCGAAATTTTGTGACCAGAATATTTATATGAAAAAATTGGTTTTTTTTTGTGAAATTTAATGTCATTGCAAAGGCCTTAACTTGAATTTGTGCATTTTTAAGGTTTCATTTAATTCTCACCAATAGTCAATTTATGATGATAAGTATTTAGGCTGCATTCGAAAATGCTTTATCTCTAGATACATAATTAAGAAATGACCTTGTATCTTGTGAACTATTGACATTTTTAAAGATATAAGCTCATCCCGATGTTACACTCATTGCGACTTTTCATTTGAGTACCCACATCAATTTTTCATATATATGTTATATATATGTATATATTATAAATATATGTATATATGAAAAATATATAAAAAATGCATGTGCGTACTCAAATGAAAGCTCTTGATGAGTGTAACATCGGGATGAGCTTATATCTTTAAAAACGTCAATATTTAATAAAGCAAAATTTTATTTATGTATAGATCACAAGTCACGGTAGTCACATAGTGATTGCAAGGTTGCTAGTTAATATAATTTTTTTTTAATTTGAGATAAATTTTAATATTTAAAAAAAAAATAAATAAATAAATAAAAAATTTTCCTACGGGTACTAAAAATCCTAATAAAAATTCAAAACCAAAAACAAACAATTAAATGAATAAATAAACAGATTGATTACCTTTCGGTTAGGACTTAAATTATACGGAGGTATCTGTAAGGTAACACTGAACTTGGTTTGCTTATCCATTTCCTCAGCCAGGAAATTGGCTTCTTGAACTAATGAATTCGCTTTGAGTATATCTGTTTTCAATTGTCCAAGACTGCGTTTGAACATTTCATCCCGCTCTTGGGCCCACTTTTCAACTCTCATTTGGGTTGTTGGTGTACAGGCTGGCAATTTACCACTGTGACTTCCGCGGAGTGGGTCATAAGGTACATAAGGAGAGTAGGGAGTAGACGGGGATAATATGTTGCGCAGCTGCTGAAATTGACGTTCGTACTCCAGACGCTGCTTCTCGAGAGCGACCTGAGCAAAAAGACCACCAATATTAATATTAGTACGATATATAGAACAAGATAACGTAAACTTAAGATCAAAGATGACAAGATAGCAAAAAAATTGAGTGTAAATTCAAAGTTATAAAGTGCTAAATATAAAAAAAAAAATTTCATTTGATTTGATTTTAGTCAACTTCACTAGACTTAACTCGGCTTCGCTTTACTTGATATAAAGTTACCTGTTTATCTTCTTCATGCTGCCTCTCCAGGCGTGCAATAGCCTGTTGGATGGGGTCGTTTGAGAGTTCATTTAACATCAGTTCCTCTTTCGCAAAGTTGTAGTCGATATTTTGAGCCGGGGTCTGAGGTTCGCTGCTGATAGCTGCAGTAAATGACAACATTCAGAAAATTTATTATTTATTCCCTATAGCTTGAATTTTTATAGAGAAGAGAAATATTAAAAAAAAATATTTTACCGGTAGCGCTGCGGGGACAATTTACTCGGAAGAAATGGTGATTACCCCACACTATTCTATCGCCGTGCAATAATGGAGTTTTTTCAACGACTTGACTGCCGTTAACAAAACACCTGGCTCCGTTTAAAGGTGTCATGTAGAGCGCCGAGTCTTCAATTGTTATTACACAGTGCTCTGGCAAAATACCCAGTCCGTGTAACTGAATATCCTGCTCTGTCGTCGCAGATCTACCGCCGACGAGAGTCCTTTCCTGAAATATAAATAAACCGATCGATCAGTTAAGATTTAAACCGAGACGTGCTATTGTATTCCTGATTTAATTATTGATAGTCACTGATTGCAAAGATAGATTATGCTAAATAAGTAATCACAGATGCTACCAATCCGCTTTTAATCATTCAAACTTTTTACCTAAGACTCATGTTTGAATAAAAGAATTAAGGGGTTGTATCCGCTTAAAAAGCCATTTTTTAATCAGATTTTTTTTTCTAAGAAATAAAGAGAGTTTATATGCTTATTTAAGTGACTTTAAATTTTAATAATTAATTATTTTTTTTTTTTTTTTAAATAATAATTTTTTTTTTTCCGATAGAAAATTTCCAGAAGATCTTTTAAGAAAAGAAGTGTTGCGGTAAAATCCTAAATAATTTCTCTTACATAAGATTTTATTGATTAATTGGAGGAATAATTAAAATATATAATTTTAATGAAATTACGAATTAAAAAAAAAATTTTTGATGAAAATTTTAGCCTTAAATTCTTTATAAAAATATTAAATATTTATCGAAAAAAAATTTTGTAAAAATTAGAAAAGCTCTTCAAAATCATGTTTTTGATTCAAAATTTTCTCTTTATAATTAAGTTAATTTTTTTATCAGTGTATATAATAATTAAATTTATTTATACTACAAAAATGAAATTTAAAAAAATTGATTTTTTTTATTATAATAAAATTGAAATATTTGATCATTTTTAAAAATTTTTTAACAAATAAATTATAGCAAAAAAAAATTATTTAAAAATTGCATCTCTAGAAACTCTAAAAAATTATAAATGCAATTTTTCAAAAATAATTTTCTAGGCCTGGTTTAATATTTAAGAAAAGTAAAAAAATTGTCGAGTCTGCTAATTTCAATATCATTTTTTTGAAAGTGTATATAATTAAATATAGGTATACTAAAAAAATTTAATTTAAAAAAATTGATTTTTTTTATTATACTAAAATTGAAATATTTGATCATTTTTAAGAGTTTTTCAACAAATAAATTATAGCAAAAAAAATTTATTTAAAAAATTGCATCTCTAGAAACTCTAAAAAATTATAAATGCAATTTTTTAAAAATAATTTTCTAGAAAAAAAAAGTACTAACCTTTAAATAATAAACTAAAAGCTCATTAAGACTGGGATCATCGTTTAAATTAACTAAATAAAATTTGTTCTTCTCGACTTGAATCCCCGAGGCCTGGACACTGATCCCCATCTTCTCAAGCGCGTGCTGTCGCTCGTGCTGCAATCGTTCAGTCTTGACTAATTTCTCCTCCCACGTGACGGACATTTCCTTCATAAGTTTCTCAGATTCAGATATTTTTTCAGTAATATCAGTGCGTCTCTGACCAACAGCCAGCCCTTGACCAGTCGCGTGTAACAACATCTCCTTGAGCGCCTCAACCTCCTGGCGAAGCTCTCGAATAATTCTTGCATTTGGGTCCTCATTAACAACCGCGTGATTAACTATTCTCTTTGCGCGATCGGCGTACCGCAGCGTTGATAATGTTTCCTCATAATTATCCGCCGCGGGTGAAATTGTGGCAACCATTACGGTTTTACTATTACCGCCCAAATTATCCTTCAAAAGCCATGTTAGAACAGAGTCACGGTACGGCACAAATTTATCACGATTTTTACCCCCTGAACTTTGATCTGCGAGTTTTGAGATGACTAGACCCAACGTCGTTAACGATTTGTTGATGTTGCTCCCTTCTTTCAGTCTATCACCTACGGCTCCAGTTTTAACGGCTCTCTCGCTTCCAGCTAAATCGACCAAACTCATACGTGACACTTTCTCACCGCTTACTCCGCTCCTCATGTCGGTCAATGTTTGCGTGAGAATTACTGAAAACACAGCATGCGAACGTGAGCTCTCGGAATTCATATTTGTAGCAGCCACTGTCCGAGATTTATTTCCCTCTGTCATTAAGTTGTCGATATCCTGCAAATATATAGTTCAATAAATATCAAATTTATGATTTATGTATTTATAAATATTTTATCTAATGTACTAGACGTACTTTATGTATTATTGGTAAAATGTTTACATTTTTTTAAGACTTTACACAGAAAAAAAAATTTATTTAAATTAAATAAATAATTTTTAAGAACTTCATCTTCTTAATTTGAGTAAAAAAATTCTTTAACTAAGAAATTTTTTTTGTTTGAGTAAATTTTACTTAATTTAAATATTTTTCGTTGTAATTCAAGTCAATGAAACTCTTCAAAATTATTTTCTTGGCTCAGAAATTTTTCTTTTTTTTTTTTTTTTTTCAGTGTATAGGCATTGACATGATTCTAAAATTTAGAGACATCTGATAATTTTTTTAATCTTCAAAAGCTCTAAAAAAATTATAAATGCAATTTTTTTGAATTTGTTTTTTAAAGCTAGTTTATTTTTAAAGGAAAAAAAAATTAATTTAAATCAAATAAATAATTTTGAAGAACTTTATCTTCTTAATTTGAGTAAAAAAATTCTTAAAAAAATATATACTTAAAAAATTTAATCTTTAGAAGCTGTAAAAAAATAAAAATTGCAATTTTTATAAAATTATTTTCTAAATCTAATTTATTTTAAAAGGAAAATAAAATTTTCGTGTCTGCTAATTTCAATGTCATACATTATCTAAAAATGACTGAATGTTTTGACGTGAAAATTAAATCTTTCGATTCAACATGAAATAAAAAAAGCTCAAGGCTGTTTTTGTTAATACAAAAGAAGTAAACAAATATCGGATGTTTACTTTTGTTTGAATGTACTTTACAGATGGTAAAGTTTGCGTTAAAAATTTTTTTTTTCATTTACCAAAAATATACAAATTTAAATTAATTAAAAATATCTTGAAATAAAATTTAAATGTTTCCATAAAAAAAAATGCTTAGTTAAGCAAGTTTAAGTCTACTATAAGATAGTGTGCATAAATAAACGTAATAAAGATAAAACAAGATTTAACAGCGTCTATTATTCCACCCCCGATTAAGAGTCCTTATAATTATAAAAGCTTTTTAAAATAATCTCTCTCCTTGTTTGAATTTAATGCCTACTAATAGCAAGTCGCAAAATAGCTACATTGTAATTAACGAAACAAAAATAGCTAAATTATCAATCTCATCAAGTTTAATTTGATAATTTTATCAATCAGACGTCAATAAAATTTAGTATGATACTAAAGTTAGCCGACGTTTTTAATTATTTGATTTTTTTATTAATAAAAAAAATTAAAACAAAAAAATATTTTTAAAAAATTTCACTTACAGTTTTTCAAGTTTTTTACAAGTGACATTTTTTAAAAATTTTTTTGTAATGATTTTTACAATAAAAAAAAATTCTAAAAATTTTTAAATGTCGGCTAACTTAATTTTCATAAATCTAGTTAAAATAACATTTTACCATTATTACATTTTATCGATTTATCTAAACAGACATAAATAATGTGGCAACCTGGTAAGCAGTGACAGCGAGTTGACTCAATCCATCAACGTAAGGTCCTAAAACGTTGTGCTCCCTGACTTTGAGGGATTGCTTGTTGGGCTTTGGATCCAGAAGATCGTGTACCTTTTCATTATAAATTTCCATATACGAGACCTCGACCTTGTAAGTTAATTCCGAGCTTTGTTGCTTCGCAATCATGTCAAAGAGGTTGTCACACAGTCGCGGGATTATACCTTTGTTGTCGCCACTGCCCATCATCGTGTAAGACTTCCCAGAACCTAAAATGAAATTATAAGTTGTGACTTTACAGTCTACGTTCTTTATTTTCTTATCGACTATATTTGATAGCTATGCTTATTTGAAAGTCCAACAGATGGCGCCACTGTAGTTAAACTTTTTAATGACGTCACTTCCGTCAAAAGAGCGGGATTTTTTGAAAAGTTACATTGGAAAGTATTAAAAAAACATGTTTTACATTAAATATTTTTTTTTTTTTCAATTATTTAACTAATTATATGCATTACACAATAAGAAAAAAAATTTGTTTGAAAAAAATGAACAATTTTGTAATAAGAAATTAATTTACTGAAACTTGATCAATTTTATTTCTTAGCTGAAGAAATATAAATTTATCTTACATAACTTTCTTGTTGATAAAATTTTTTTTGATTTGTAAAAATATATTTTGGCTAAAAATTTGTAAGTTGTTTATCTAAAATTATCTAAATTATTATGAGAATAAGCAAAATTTTGTGGTCAGAGTATTTATATGATAAAATGGGTTTTTATGGTTAAATTTGGTATCGTTAAAAAAGTTTTGACCTAAAGTTGTGCTTTTGCATTGTTTCATATTATTCTCACCAATAGTTGATTTATGATGATAAGTATTTAGGCTGCATTTGAAAATGCTCTATCTCTAGATACATAATTAAGAAATAACCTTGTATCTTGTAAACTATTGACATTTTTAGATATATAAGCTCATCCCAATGTTACGCTTATCAAGACCTTTCATTTGAGTACCCACATTAATTTTTCATATATTTTATATATTTCACAAATACCATATATATAAAATATATGAAAAATGTCATGTGGGTACTCAAATGGAAGCTCTTGATGAGTGTAACATCAGGATGAGTTTATGTCTTTAAAAATCTCAATAATTAAGAAATGACCTTGTATCATGTTAAATATTGACATTTTTAAAGATATAAGCTCACTCTGACAATACACTCATCAAGACCTTTCATTTGAGTACCCACATTAATTTTTCATATATTTATATATATTATATATATATATATATATGTATATATGAAAAATATATCAAAAATACATGTGCGTACTCAAATGAAAGCTCTTGATGAGTGTAACTTCAGGATGAGCTTATATCTTTAAAAATGTCAACAGTTAAAAAAGTACAGTGCAATTTAACAAAAGTCATTGTTTAATAAAGCAAAATTTTATTTATTCATAGTTTACAAGTCACTATAGCAAAGTTACTAGTTTTTTTTTAAAAAGAAAATTATAGTAAGAAAATTTCTATTTCTTCAGCTAATAATAAAGTTGTTTAAAACTTTCAGCAAATTAATTTGTTATTAAAAAATTGCTAATTTTTTTTGCTTATGGAGTACATCAATCGTGCTTATGAAAACTAACTAAACTTTTATTATTTCCAACACCAAAGTTAGCTTCATCGGAGCTTCTTGACTATTCTAATGCTTTCAAGAAGCTCTATAACTGTAATCTTATTTTTATAACAATGAAATACGACCTTTTAAAGTCGATACATCATTAAACTTAACTTAAATAAGTGCAGATATTTATAAATATCTTCTTTTAATATTAATATTAGTCAACTCTACAACTATACATATACTTTTAATTATATTTCTTCATTCCACATATTATATTTATATTTATATTTTAGTCTGTATAGGACAATTGCGACATTTAAAGTTCCAGTAATACAAAACAAGACAACAAAAGTATCGAGTATTCTCTTTTGTCTCATTGTTCCCCTTGTGCTGTTTCCAGATTGTTCAATTGAGGAGAATATACAAAAAGGCGAATTGGGGCGAAGTTATATTACAATAATATAAAAAGTGAGCGGCAATACGGAGCACTACCGAACTTTTTAGATTTTCCAATGCGCACATAAAAAATAAATAAAAGCAAAGTGAGTGGAGTAGAGTAATGAATAACTTACCGGTTTGTCCATAAGCAAAAATGCAGGCATTGTAACCCTGGAATGCATTGTCCAAAATATCACGTCCTAAAGCATCGAATACGACGTTTTGGCTCGCGAAATTTTCCCCGCCGGGATCCAGCGAAAAGAAGCAATGGTCGAAAGCAAACGTCTTGGGCTTGTTTCTGAAAGAAAATAAAAATAATCATTAGCTTGGATTATATTGAAGTAGAGTAGGAAGCAAAGGACAAATGTTAAATGGAGCATTAATATATAAAATAATGCATTAAAAAGAAGAACGAAAAGGTAATCGGTATTGACAGGAGCATTATCTCGATAGAACCAAGGCCATGGAAAGTAATTTAATTGGATAACTCAGACTACTTCTATCTGGAACAAGATTGAGATTGTTTCAAAGCGTAGTTACAAGTTTTCTTCTCTCTAACTTTAAGCTCTCCGTTCTAATAGCCCTTCAGAGTTTTACAGGTTCTATTTATTCTTGATTAAAGTAAACACAAATCAAATCATCATTTCGACGGCTATTTTATAATTTACTAGTCATTCATTGATCAAATTAAAAGTAACAAAAATATAATTTTATTTTAACTTTTGTTATGAAGATACGAACTTTCTAGACATGATTTATTGAAGAAATCTAGACAGATGTTGACCCTAAGGCCATTACCGGAACTTTCGGTTAGTTTCAAGTTTAAAGTGCTTAAAATTTGTCTATTTTTGGCGCTTTTTGTTTTCAAGAAGACTTTACGGAAAAAAAATTGTAGGAAAAATTACAATTGTTACATCGTAATCTAGGACCAGATTTTTAATACTCGCTTTGATAATTTTAATTTATTATCTATATTATTAAGAGAAGAAGCAAGATTTTGTGGCTAGTGTGTTTCCTTTAAATTAAAATACATGATAGTCTTGAAGTTATTGAAAGGTCGAAACTCGCAAAAAAACGGGCCACGATTCATTATTGGTTAAAATTTAGGCGCGCTATTCAAATTTCTAGTATATGATAAAATGGGTTTTAATGGTTAAATTTGGTATCATTGGAAAAGTCTTGACCTGGAGTTGTGCCTTTTCATTGTTTTATGTTATTCTCACTGATAGTCGATTTATGATGAAACGTACTTAGGTTGTATTTGAAAATGCTCTATCTCTAGATATATAATTAAGAAATGACATTGTATCTTGTGATTTATTGACATTTTCAAAGATATAAGCTCACCCCGACATTACACTCATTGAGACCTTTCATTTGAATACCCACATCAATTTTCCATATATTTATATATATTACATATATGTATACATGAAAAATATTTGAAAATGCATGTGGGTACTCAAATGAAAGCTCTTGATGAGTGTAACATCGGGATAAGCTTATATCTTTAAAAACTTCAATAGTTAAAAAAGTACAATGCAATTTAACATAATCAAGAAACGACTTTGCATCTTGTGAACTATTGACATTTTTAAAGATATAAGCTCATCCTGAAGTTACACTCATCGAGACCTTTCATTTGAATACCCACATCAATTTTTCATATATTATTTATATATATTACATATATGTATATATGAGAAATATATCAAAAATGTATGTGGGTACTCAAATGAAAGCTCTTGACGAGTGTAACATCAAGATGAGCTTATATCTTTAAAAATGTCAATATTTAAGAAAGTACAGTGCAATTTAACAAAAGTAATTGCAAAGTTGCTAGTGTTATATCATAAAACTGCGTATGAAAGTAGTAAATATCCAAATTTTTACGCTGTAACATGTAAAATGTAAAATTATCAAAAAGAAGATATTGAAAATTACAATAGTAATTTTTTATCTATATTGAAAATTATTAAAAAAAAAAAAGACTTTTTTTAATCAAGTAGTTTTTCTTTAACGAAATAATGAACATTTTAAGATTTCTGGAGGATTTCCAAATTCAATTTTTTACTAATCACAAACGGTCATAAATTTTTGAACCACTAAATTCAATTGATGGGGCTACTAGCATGAACAGAATTTAGCGGTTGAAAATAGATAACAATTTTACGTGTTCTTGTTTCATAGAACTAGATCATCTGTAGACAAAGAGATGACTAGACTTGACACAATATAATATCCTTTCTCTGGACTATATATAACTGGCGGTTGAGTCTTTTAGCTCCTATCCGTTCTTTGTCTTTTTCGTTTATTTGGACTTTAATGTCTCTCGAATAGTCGCGGCTCGCTGACAATCGAAAACTCGTTTGCTGCAAATGGAGCAGTAACTGTCGAATAAAATCCAAGTTCACGTCGTCAGACACGTGTTCCATTTATTTTGATGGGATGCAGAAATTAAAGCGCTGAAGTGATATTTTACTCTGAATTTTGAAGCGTTTCACTGTTTTTCACTTTGTTATTTCAATCATCATTTCCGGCAATAAAAAAGCGCTATCAGACCAATCGAAATGTCTGGTGTGCTATAAAACAGTAATGTTGATATTGATGCAGACTATTCACCAGTTTAATGTATTTGCGACGTCGTTGTTAAAAGTAGAGCTCATCAGAACAATAAACGTTTATTCCAACCACGATACTGGTATGCGTTTTTCATCAATCTCATTCTGAAAAGTATTTCCACTGAAAAGGCACCCACACAACTTAGATACAACGAAAACTTTTCTAAGCTTTTATTCAGTAGGTTTCTGTTTAATGGAGAACAATTGCAAATGAAAGGGGAAGTAAAGCTTTTTATTTCTCCGCTATGGTAAATATCTACCTCTAGTTTTTGTTGGTTTTGAATTTATTCAAATAGCTGACACCGTTTAGCCTCGGCCTCCGAGTCTCTAGTAGTGCAGTCTGCACTTGCATAATCATTGAATGACACATGCTTACTCAAGTAAATTAATTCAATGTTGACGTCGTAAATCAGTGATGATAAACCGCGCTATCAGTTATTAGTTATTTATATGGCTAAAGTGTAACTAATTCAAATATTCAAGGTAAAAAGTTATTTTTTTCTTCCAAATTTATGGAATTAGACATTCATTTAATACACTGATAAAAAAATTGACTTGACTCAAGAGCCAAACTCTTGGACTAAAAAAAACATTTTTTAGAAAAAGAAAAAAAAAATGTTAAAAAATTTTTAGGCTATTTTCAGATGACATCACAGTGACAGCTCCGGAAAGTTATTATGGAGCGTCTTTAAATTGTCTTAAATTAGTCTTAAAAAAATCTTAAAAAAAAATTTAGACTATTTTAAGATGGGTTAACAGCGACAGAGTCCCGGAACATTAAAACGGAACGTCCTCAAAAAGTCTTAAAATTGTCAGATAATAATTTTTTAACAATTTTAAATTCAATTTAAAAACATCTTACTCAAAAATATTGCGGTTAGAAAGTCGTAAAATCATCTAAAAATTAATTTTCACAACAAATTCGAGAACAAAATTTTCAAAAATCTGCTCTCGGAATTTTTCTTTTGGCGTCTTAAAAGAGTCTTAAAATAGTCTTAGTTTGTGTCACGTTTAAGATCTTAAACGAACGACAATTTTAAGAAAATTTTAAGACGATTTTTTTTTACACGGGTATTACGAGGTTGGTGATTTGGTCGATTAAAATTTTGAGTTTTTAGGAATTTAAATTGCGCGCCTTGATTTTTTATCCAATAAGGGATCAAGGATCATATTTTTGCAATAATTCGATACTTATAGTTAACTTCACACTTATTTTTATTTCATCTATTTAATTAAGAGGAACATTGTCATGTTATTATTATTATTTTTCCTTTAAAATGAGTGAAAATAAGAAAAATTGGAAATTTATTTAATAAAAATTCTGAAATTTTTCTTTTATAGGGATTTCATCGCGACTTAATTATTTGTGAAGGTTTACGATGACGGTAATAGCCTGTTCAACCAAAATTGCAATTTTTTATGGAATATTAAATTTTTAAAGGTATTTTCTTTCAAAAAATAACAAATAGATCTCAAAAAACGTATACATTGATTTAATATAAATTCTAGAATATTTTTTTTTTTACAATTCCGACATTTCAATGGCTTTTAGTGGTACTGATTGTTTTGTAAACAGAAATTCCTACTTTTTTTATAAAAAATAAAAGCTTCAATGTTTATTTTCTTTTTTTCAAATCGGTAGAACTGAATAAAACTCTATATTCATTTGATATAAATTGATACGAGTTGAAAAGTTTTTTCGATGGTCGAATTATTTATCACTTATTACAAATTATCCATTTGAAGCTAAAAAAGCTGTTAATTTCCCACCAGCTTAACTCATTGTCACTTAGCGGTGCTTTAAAACACACAAAAGGAAAAAAAAAACAAAGCATGAAAGAATATCAATGAAAGCGAAATATAAGCTCAAATAAAAGCATTTCTTTTGTTTTGTATCGCAACTCTATATTTTAAACTTGAGCATCAATTTGCTAATGGGATTCTTTGAGAAAAGAATCCGAAGAAAGTTCTTGATTTTATTTTAAGTTATTCTATTTTCTTATTAGCAAAGAATTAAGAGTCTGGACTCGCTGAATAAATTATCGAGTTTTTTACGACTCATTATTGCGTTTCAGACTCGACGTTTCAGTCTCTATATATATAAATATAAGTACGTCTGCTGAAGTTGAAAATAAAAGCTACTAATTAATAATAACAGAGTAATATTGTGGTGACCAGTGGACGAATATAGCTGATGATAGTCAGGAAGGTCGAGCTTTCGTCACGCGAGCTTGTACACAACTTTGCGTGCTGGTTTTGTGACCAAGATTATTTAGGCATCAGGGTTGCGATGCTAGGGCTGTTAATTGATCGTCAGAGGGTGGAATCAACCCTAAATGTCTCGTCTGGTTTAGCCTTAATACCACTATACTCGTTGTCATTAAAATTATCATTATCATAATAGTTTTCATTACCATCCTCTAATAATTTCAACAATAGCAAGGTCTTTTTTTTTTTTAAGATCATTAAAACTGTTTAAGTACCAGATTAAACCAGGAATTCTAGTACTACGTAGAACATTTTAATGGATATTTTTCCCTAATATTATTGCACTTTTGAAAGGGTCTTTTTTTAAAATAAGAAAATGGAAATTTATAAACTTATAATGATCATTGAACTAAATTAATTTATTTCTGGGTAATAGTTAGAAAAATTAACTCAGACCTTATTGATTCT